AAGTGTGCAGGGATAAGTTCTTAGTTTTTCATGGAGAAAAGTTCATTTTATTAAAGGAAAATAACTGTCCCTATTAGTTATATTCAATTATAGGGAGCCCTGGTTGCATAGTGGGTTAAGCATAAGATTGGCGGCACAAACCTATCAGTCTCTCTGTGGGAGAAAGAGGAGGCTGTGTGCTCCTGTACAGATTTATAGTCTTGGAAACCCAATGAAATATTTCTACTCTGTCCTATAGGGTTGTTGGAATCAACCAGGTGGCAGTGAGTTTTTGAGACATTTAATGTCTTGGAAGTGGTATGTAATTTTTTGAATGATTTAGCAAAAGCTACCTTACCTCCTGGTGTGGCGCTGTGGGCTAATGTGTCAGACAGCAAAGTCATTTGAACTGCAAGGTCGGTGGTTCAAGCTCACCAGATGCTCCTTGGAAACCCTATGCAGGGTCGCTATGGGTTGGACTCAATGCAACGGCACTCAACAACATCTTACCTCCTAATATGAAAAACTTATGGTTGGGGAGGTGGTGAGCCAATATGCTTAGGTCTTCTGGGAATTCAGAGACCAGTTACCCTTAACCTCTTCTTTCCAAGTTTGAAATTAGGAACATGTATCAGGGTGAGCCAAAAACTGAAAGGTCAGAAGTTCGAAACTACCAGCTGTTCCACAGGAGAAAGATGAGGCTTTCTACTCCCGTAAAGATTTACAGCCTCGGAAACCCTGTTCAGGGTCGCTATGGGTCGGAACCGACTCGACGGCACTTAACAACAACAACAATAAGGGTGAGCTAGGGTGATGTCATCCAAGGCACGGTGACTGGTAAAGGTACCAAAACCTAAACAAACAACAATGACAACAAAAGAAACCCACCGCCACTGCCATGAGTTGATTGTGATGCACAGTGACCCTGTGGGACACAGTAGAGCTGCTTCCTAGGGTTTCTGAGACACTTAAGCTTTATAGGAGCACACAGACTCATCTTTCTCCCATGGAGTACCTAGTGGGCTTGAACTGCCAACCTGGTGGTTAGCTGTCTAACACCTAGTCCATAGTGCCACGAGGGCTAGGGAAGGTACCAAGGACCCTAAAATAAAATTACCTTTGTGAAATAGGAAATCTTAAGTGGTACTCTTGGCTCAACACAAGGGCCTACATCTTTGTGGACAAGGGCAGGTTTCAGCATATCTGTGCCTGTGTCTGATTCTGGGAACTCCTTGAGACCCAGCCATCATGACAGATATGGTACTTTACAATAGCAGCACATGGAACTATAAACTAATAGGACCTTAGAGGCCACGTATGAGGGAGCTTAAAAAATGTTGTCCAAAATTTCCATTATCTTTACATTCCATTTCTCCATGAACTTTTTAAAGCCCCCTTGTATAATGTTGTACACGGTTGGCAGGGATCTGGACCAGTCACCAAACTTCTGTTGGACTGTATAGATCAGTTCCCACATGGCAGTGAGAAACAATAGCGGCAGGAGACTGATTCTCCACGTGGCTTTGGAAGCAAAACGGGTCCCCTCTTTGGGGCCAAGTTTTGTAAAGGTGGAGTGGAGAAAGGCCCAGAATAATACTATTAAAAGAGTAAATGAGAGATATATGACTAAATTTGTACCCAGAATTCTGCTGACAAGTCTTTCTTACTACACATGGTATACAAAGCCCGGCCTGCCTACCTTTCCAGTCTTAGTTCTTTTTTTTTTTTTTTTTTAAGTGCTGTAAAAATATAACATTTGCAATTCAATGTTTTTCATGTGTACAATTTAGTGACACCAATTACATTCAATCATGTTGGGCAACCATCACCAGTGTCCTCTACAAAAAAGTGGTTCCCAGACAATGACTTCCCCTTTCCCTCCCTGCTTTTCACACCACCAAACTGCTCAGAGATCTCAGATCCCTATCTCCCATCACATACTATAAACCCTGCTGTTTATTACCCGGGGACCTTTGCTCATGTTATCTCCTACGTCTGAACTACCTTTTTCCATCCCTACCTCCATTGTTCCTGGCATTAGTCCTAAGACTCAACTCAGTGGCCCTTCCTCCAAGAAGCTTCTCATGACCATCTTGGGCTCAGTTAAGGGTCTCCTGACATGATTCTCTTAAGACCACATTGCATGAGAATGATCGGTATATGTTCCTGTCTCAACCACTAGCCCCAGTAGCTCAAAAGCATGGCCCATGTCTCATGTCTTCTCATCTTTGTCTCCCCACCATCTGGCATGATTGCGTGGCACAGAGGAGGTATTCAGCAAGTACCTGCTGAATGCATGAAGGTAAGTTTTGTCACTCTGAAAACATAACCTCTTCTCTTCCCTTGACACACTGAATGCTTAGACATGCAACCTTGCTCCTAGATGTTCTTCTAATTCCTTACTGGTCTCCTATTTATACACTTACCAGCTGTTCCTCGAAAACCCTATACAGGATCATTGTGAATTGGAACCGACTCGACAGCACTTAACAACAACAACAACAACATGCAAAGCACTGTCCCAGGAAGTTTACAGTGTGAGATGCAGTGAGAAACAAGATGTAGACCCTGTACTCAAGCAACTCTTAGGAAATAACTTTCTTCCTTTTCAATTTCCACAGAAGCCTTGAAGGCTCTCCTGGTTTTAGTCCCTGTCTCCAGTCCACCATCACATTAAGTGACCCATGTGGCACTGTGGGTTAATGCGCTGGACTACAAAGTTGGTTGAACCGCAAAGTCGGCGGTCCAAGTTCACCTTGGAAACCCTATACAGAGTCGCTGTGGATTGGAACAGACTCTTAATGGCACTTAACAACAACGATCTTCCTCTTATCTTATTTGTATAAATAGATATTTTTGTTGATTTCAGTTTTGTCTCATATACATTCTAACATTCAAATTTAGTTGAGACCAATGAACTATATCTATTCTCATTCTTTTTCTCTATGGATGTGTATGTGTGCCAGATATTATTGCCCACTGTTTTTGAGTTATGATTGATAAGTTATAAAGGTTTGAGGGCAGTTAAAATGGAAGCATACTGTTTCAAAGACAAAGACAGAGCAAGAGAAACAGGAAATGGTGCAATAATTTACAATGAAACAAAAACTAATGGCATGCCATCAAGAACAAAATACTTCCTCTTTGTGGCCATTCAGGACCTCTGCTGAGGCACACATGCTGTGGATTACTACAACAATAAATTATTCCCTACTTAAAGAAACATTAGGGTTGGTTGTTGAGTGCATTTCAACCTGTTGACGATACAAACTCCAGCTGCCCCTTTGTGAGAAAAACACCATATAGAACCCTGACTTCTGAGGCTTCGCAAGTTGTGAGCAATTCCCTTTGCTGAGCAGTAATCACTGCGCTCTTGAGCATTTGAAATGAATAGAGCTCACTTTGCTAGTAGAGACCTAGCTTCTTCTGTTTCCGCCAGACTTGTAATCAGGCCTTTATGTTGTTTTCATTTAAGCTTCAATGTATCAAATTGGCTTTGGAAAGTGGAATTTTTGTGCTCAGCTTTTTTACTTTCCATTATGTGTTCCAGTTCTAAATGCCAGAAACAAGTGGTCATTTGGCCATTGGTTCACTGCCAACCGAGCACAGTTGTACCCTAATTAAGAATGACTGTGTGTGTCATGCCAGCCTGCTGAGTTGGCAGGCGGACATGGACCAGAGAGGGTCAAAACTACCACCTTCTGTAATTGTACCATTACAGCTTCATTCCTTTGAGTCTTGAAAACTCTCAAAACATAAATAGTAAGTCTTCCAGCAGGTGTTAGAAGGGGAAAGGAGTCTAGCATTTGTTGAGTGCCTACTATGTGCCAAGGATTGTCCAAGATCACAATTATTGTTTCATCAAATTCAATCCCCACATTAACCTCCCCCGCACCTCCTTAGTCAGAGATTAAGGAGCCCTGGTGATACAGTGTGGTAAGCATTGGGTTGCTAACCACAAGGTTGGTGGTTCAAACCCTAAGAGGAAGAAAGATACTGCTGTCTGCTCCTGTAATGATTTTCAGTGTCAGGAAACCCAAGGAGCAGTTCTACTCTGTCCTATTGGGTCGCTATGAGTCAGAACGAACTTGGTGGCAGTGGATACAGTCAGTTATTAGTATTAGCCCCACTATACAGACATAAAGGAGCTCTGGTAGCGCAGTGGTTATGAATCAGGCTGCACACCTCAAGGTTGGAAATTCAAAACTACCAACTGTTCCTCGGGAGAAAGATGAGGCTTTCTGCTCCCGTAAAGATTCACAGCCTCGGAAACCTCGTACAGGGTTGCTCTGAGTCGGAACCGACTCCACGGCCCGTAACAACAACAACAACAACATGCAGACAAAGATACTGAAGTTCAGAGAGGTTAAGTAAATTACTTGTCCATGGTCATTTAGCTAGAAAATGGTTGATCTAGGATTTGGGTCAGGCCTAGGAGAACCTAGATCCTGTGCTTTTTTGCCTATACCAAGTTGCTTCTCTTAGCAACACTGCCTGTTCTCTACTTCTCTCTGTGTGTGTATGTGTGTGTGTGTATGTGTGTTCCTGTGCCTAAGGAGAAAAGACCTACTAGTAATCTCATTTACTTTGCTACGCTGCTTAGGTTTGGCCTGCCCTCAGCTTTTCTTCTCCTTCCTTACTGCCATGGTCTAGTCTCAAACCCAACATGCCTACCACAACTACCCCCCCCCTCCGCCACTCCTCTACCACAGTAACTTACTAGAATGTTTGCAGTTGACATATTGGATGAATCAGTGCATCACACAAAATTTGGACTCCAAAATCCCTGAGGTCATTTCCACTTAAGTCTAGCAACGTCAGGTTCTCATTTCTGCTAAGGACAGAGGCAAGGGCTCCACAGCACACATCTGTGAGATGACATTCTGCTAACCTGTGAGGGATTGGGGATTCAAGAAGGAAAACAAAACAAAACAAAACAATTTGTTTTACCTCAAGTTTCATGGTGGCCTTCCATTTCACACATAGCCTGGAGCAAGAGCCCAAAAGGCCACAGAACTTACCAAAGGGTCTGTAATTTGCAGCCAGGGTGTTTCAGCCCTTCACATAGCACCTGCATGCCCTCATCCCCTAAGGCATTATCACTGAGGTCAAGGTCTCTCAGATGTTCATTGGTGTAGAGCGTGCTGCACAAATCCTGACAACAGGCTCCTGTCAGGTGACAGGTCCACAATCTGCCAGGAGGTAAGGGAGAGAAGGCTGGTGGCATCTCACTGGCACTGGGGCACTGTAAGAATTGTCTGCCTAACGACAACTAGAAAAGCACTTAGAAAATCAGTGTCATGCTAAAAACAAGCAAGCCAAAAGGGCAAAGACCTTCGGCCAGGCTAAGTGAAGAGTGTACAGAAGGTAAATTTTAGCACTAAATTACTGAGGTTTTCATTTTAGTGCTTCCTAGGAAATGCAGTTGTCAGGCCAAAATACTCATTTTCAGGTTTTGCTGAAACCACTAGAAAACTCTGCCTGTGACGTTCGTCGATGACACTTACGCCAGATCCTTTAAGTGACAGTCAGGCTGTCTCAACCCTTCACACAGCAGTTTCAGTCCCAAATCTTCAATTTTGTTATTGATTAGAAGCAGCCTGGTGAGACTCCGGGTGGAGCTGAGGACTTGGGCAAGTGGTTCACAACAAATGGCCGAGAGGGCACATTCAGACAGCCTAAGGAATGGCGAAACCAAAGTAGCTGTTACCGATGCAAGCAGGGAGTCCCACTGAATCCCAAATCCTATGAGAAGGACAAGAGCAAGAAAACACTCACACGAGATTCTCAATTATACCCTTTGCGTGCCGCAGACCTTCACAAAGATGCTGTACTCCAGTGTCTCCCAGGGCATTGGCAAACACAAACAGTTCTTTCAAAGTCTGACTCACTTGCAACAAAGACGAGAGCTCCACACAGCTCGCATCAGTGAGGCTGCATGTGCTCAAGCTACTCAGAGAAAGAGAAGACAAATTAGTCACGCTGTCGTTCTGGCTTCCTGAGGATGTTCTCCCAATCTCCCCATTATCTGACGCCCGGCCACTCTTCAACTTCTGCCTCTTGCCCCACCTCCTTGACAGAGCCTCCTCTTGAGGTCTCCAGCTCACAGCGACCTCCTCCTCTGCCCTTGAACCATCTGGCATTTTGAAATTTCCACAGTGTCTGCTACTTGGTTACACATTGAATTGTGAGGCTCACCAATGAGTTCCTTTCTGTGGGTCCTTAAGGACAGCCTTGTTGCTTGTGGCACCACTGATAACTCCGCCCACATCTAGCTCAGTTGTGTGCCTAGTGTTGCGGTAGTTGTTAAGTGCTGTTTTGACTCATAGCAATTCTGTAGAGGGTTTCCAAGGAGCAGCTGATGAGTTTGAACTGCTGACCTTGTGGCTAGCAGTCTATATACAAGAAGGGGGGGGACGCTTGACAAAGTATGTGGGGAAAAAATCCATTATCTTTTCATTCCATTTTTCCCATTAACTTTTTGAAGCTCCCTTGCATTTAATATGCAATTAGCATCATCTTTGGTGCCCTGGAAAAAGCCTGAGATTTGGAGACAGATTATTAGCTATGTGACCTTGGGCAACTGCCTTTCTTCTTCTGAGTCTCAGTTACCGCATGTGGATAAAAAAGTGCAAAATGCGAATTAAGAAAATCCATGTTAATGAAATGACTTCTGAAAAGCAGCAGACATGGAGCCTGGCCCAAAGCAAGCACTGAAATAGCCATAAGGGATGCCAGATCATTCTAAGAGACTTACTCTAGTTTCTCCACTTTACAGCTGGAATGTCTGAGACCTTCACAAAGATACTTCACCCCTTTATCTCCCAGGAGATTCTCACTCAAGTCCAGCTCAGTGAGGTTTGAGTTGCATCTGAGAGCAGAGGCGAGATACTTGCAAACAGCCTCTGAACTTTCTGGAAGAAAGCTGGCACACAACCTAGAAAGAAAGACATATAGAGATAGAACTGGCTACTTTAGTGTCTTATTAAGATCACTGACACAAGACACCCACTTTTGAGTATGTCACACAGCTTCCTTATCCCTATGGCAGGGACTTGTGTAATGCTGCCAAAACAATGTGTCCCACAGTGGGGACAGGTTGCCTAAAAGAAGAAAGGTGTTGAGAAGAAACATCTAGGTAATCTTATCTCATTTCAGTCCCCTGAGTGAATTTAGCACTGAATCTCATACCCCCCTTTCAAATCCCAGGGGGAAAATTCTATAATCACCTTTTGAAAACTGATAGTCAAAAGGTCTATCCTTTTATCTAATAATTGTTGTTGCTGTTGTGAAGTACCCATAGCGACCCTGTATAGGGTTTCCAAGGAGCAGCTGGTGATCCTTGGACTGTGGCCATCACAATGCATGCTTTACTTTCATTCCCAGTCTTTCCCATCTTTGCTTCTCCGTAGTACGTAGTCCAATTCCTTGAAGAGTTTCACATCAACTTTTTCTTTCATAATTTTCAAGAATTTCTGTGATATGTATTACAACCTTTGAGTCCTCAATTTTCTCTTGCGTTACCAGGTTCCACACTGATTCCTGAAGAGGGCTCATGAGGAAATGTATTTATAGCTCCAAATTTCAAAGTTTTAAATAGAGGCACTTTGCATAAAATAAGTTTTCAAAGCGGATTTGAGAAAACGTTAATGCTAAAGAGATCTGGTTAAAAAAAATTAGCCCACATACATATGATAACAAAGATTAAGGTAATTACCATGGGCTTTGAACTGAGACATATATAGGTTTCAAAGTGCGACTCTGTCATTTTTCAGTCCTATGACACATCTCCAAACCCACTGCCATTTAGCCCATTCTGACACATAAAAACTCCCGCATAGGGTTTCCCAGGTGGTAAATGTGTACCGGAACAGAAAGCCTTATTTTCCCCCCGAGCCCATTTCCTAATCTGCTAAAACAGCTCAGAGCTGTACATATGTACAAACCACTCAACACCATGCTTAGTACAAAGTTAGGTCTGCAACAATGCCGGGTTATTACATCTACTCCTCACTTATCTGACATTTTACACTTAAGGCAATAGCAAAGACTTCACTAACTGACCAAATTTTCTATCTGACTATTTTCACATGAATGACGTAAGTCTGGCAGGAACAGACACAGACTTGCAGAGTGAGAATAACGCTACCTGTGATGGTTAAGGTTCTAGAACAACGTGGCTGGGTCATGATTCTCAATGGTTTGGCAATTACGTAATGATGGATTCTGGCACTTATGGATTGATGTAATTTGGCAGTTAAGTAATGATGTAGTCATCCTCCGCTTTATGATCGGATGCGGTCATTCTCCGTGTTTGCATAATGCTGATACTTGAATAACTTCCTAGTCTTTGGGATGGAACCGTATGTATGAGTAAGAAGTAGGTGCATTATTGTCACTGATGTTACTGACAGTCAAAATGAAAATTATTTTACTAAACTTGTTGCATAGGCATATTTTTAAGCACCACCACTTTCCTTCTCCTTGCAATGTGTTTTCATCATATAACCCACCTTGAGTCACATAATTAAAAAAAAAAAAATTCTTGCAGAAGGGAAGCTAACAGTTACAACTTACTTGAGCTTCTGTAATTTACAGTTTGGATCTTTTAAGCCTTCACAGAGAAACTTTAAAGCGGAAACTTCCAGTATTGTTTCAGAAAATTCCAACTCGGTGAGCCACTGATTGGTGCTAAGGACAGCTGCGAGGGCCCCACAAGAAGCAGGAGAGATAAGGCATCGGTACAACCTTCAGAAAACATAAGAATGACCTCATTACCTTACTCATGACTACCCCACCCCCAACAAATATAAACTGACAAAAAATTTTGGTATGAACACAGACAACAAATTCTCCAGCTATGAGTTACCTCAGTCTATGTAATATACAGTTTGGCCGTTTCAGGGCTTCACACAGAAGTTTCATTCCCGAATCTTCCAGGGTATTTTTTACAAATTCCAAATCTGTCAGATACTGATTGGTTTCAAACACTAAGGAGAGGTCCCTACCACAAGAAGCTGTGAGGTGGCAGAAAATCAGTCTGTGAGGAGAAAAAGCCATTTCAGAGGAGAAAGAAAACAAGTCTTTCTTTGAATGTACTAGTTTGCAGTTTACTAGTGCACCAAATCCTGTCAATTACTTTGCCAATTATTTATGGAGTGCTTTACCACTGGGCTAGACCACTGGGAAAACGGAGACATTTAAGGTCAGCGCAAACACGACCTTCAAGGAACGTCGTTAATGGGGAAAAGGCAGATGAGAAAACCATGGGTTATAATATAGTGTGCAAGCACTATATTATATTATATTATGGCATGCAAGCAGTAGTGTGGAGCCACAGAAAGGTGGTACATAATTCAGCTGACTGTGGCCTGAGGTTTGGAGGATCCAGAATATACTTACAGGAGGAAGAAATGCTTCAGTGCTATCAAGAAAATGGGAGCAAAGAGAGAAGGAGGGGCTGAGTGGCAACGCAAACGTGAAGAAGCCAATGGGAAGGCTAGGAGGCAAATCCCCATTTTAAAAGATTGGAAGGACAGCATCAAACTATCAACAAGGTTATCTCTCGGGATGGGGCATAGATGGGATTATACGGAGACACGTCAGACATTTGTGGTTAGCAGCCCAATGCATAAACCCCTGTGCTGCCAGGGTTCCTTTAAAACACATACCAAAAATCATACCTACAAGATTGAAAATAGGGAACCAGAGATAGCAATCTATAATGAGGACAATTACAAAGTAAAAAGAGGGAACAGTGTAGTTACAGAACTTCCAAATGGTGAGGCAGTCAAGCAGATTTCAAGATATAACTGACTGTTTTAAACTAGGGAAGAAATTAATAAATTACAGGGTAACTATGCAAAATATTAATTAACTATCTCATCAAAAGAAAAACAGAGGACACTCATAAAGGTTTCGTAAACACTGAAACAATAGCAATGAAGCAAATGACAAGAAAAACACACAAACAAAATGAACTTAGCACAGAAAATTATGTGGATCAAAGAAACCAGAAACACTACCAAATTAACAGCAATCAATTCATACCTATGGATAATTACGCTGAATATAAATGGATTAAATGCATCAGTCAAGAGACAGAGTAGCAGAATGGATAAGAAAACAGTATCCTTCAACATGCTCCCTACAAAAGACACATCTTGTACACACAGACAGAAATAGCCTAAAAATTAAAGGATGGAAAAAATATATTAAGCAAGCAGCATTAAAAAATGAACAGGAATGGTAATATTAATTTTTGATAAGACAGACTTTAAGGCAAAACCCAGCATGACAGACATTCCAACTCATAGTGACCCTGTAGAGAACTTCTGAGGTTTTAAAAATATTTGCGGGAACATACTTTCATCTTTCTCCTGCAGAGCAACTGGTAGGCTCTAACCGCTGACCTTGAGGTTCGCAGTACAGTGCTTTATATTAAAGGGTCAATTGAACAAGAGGACATAACCGTAATAAATATTTATATTCCCAATGAAAGAGCCTCAAAATACACAAATCAAACTCTAACAAAATTGAAGAAATGGACAACTCTACAATAATAGTGGGAGATTTAACTCGGCAAAGACACAGAAGAACTAATCAAAAACAACCAATCAGCTTGACCTTATAGACTCATAAAAGCACGCAAGCTAACAGCACAAAAACAAAGAATTTTTTCCAGTGCACATGGAACATTCTCCAGAATAAACCATATGTCTGGCTACAAAGCAAGCCTCAATAAATTGAAAACATCAAGATACTACAAAGCACCTCAGATTACAGCACAATAAAATTAGAAATCAACAGAAAGATCAAGGGAAAAAAATGAAATGCATGGAAACTGAATAACATCCTGCTTAAAAACTACTGGGTAATAAATGAAATTAAAAACTAAAATAAAAAAATCTCTTGACTCAAACAAGAATGAAAACACAACATATTTAAACCCTTGAGACACAACAGAGGTAGGGTGCAGAAGGTTAATTTATAACAGTAAACACACACATCCAAAAAGAAGAAAGAACCAAAACCAACAGTTTAACTCAACATTTCCAACAATTAGAAAAAGAACAGCAAAATAAGTCTGCAACCAACAGAATAAGAGAAAGAATAAAGGTCAGACAGAAATAGATGAAAGAAAACAATAAAAAGAAGCCACAATATAAGAAGTTGGTCCTTTGCAAGGGTTACAAAATTGACAAACCACTGGCAAATCTAATAAATGAAAATAAGGTGACCATGGCAATAATACAAATAAGAAATGAAATGGGTGATGTCACAACATAACCATGGAAATAACAAGTATAAGGACAGAATACTATGAAGAACTATCTTCCAACAAATTTGAAAATCTAGAAGAAATGGACAAATTCCTAGAAACACACTACCTATCTAAACTAACACAGACTGAAGCAGAAAACTTGAACAGACATATAACAAAAGCAGCAGCTGATAAGGGCATTAAAAAACTTCTAATAAAAAAAGAGTCTGGGCCCAGATGGATTTGCTGGTGAATTCTACCAAGCATTCAGAGAAGGGCTAACACCAGTCCTACTCAAACTATTCCAGTACATAGAAAAGGACAGAAAATTCCCAAATTCATTTTATGAAGTGAACATAACCCTGATACCCAAACCAAAGACATTACTGAAAAAGAAAATTATGCACCAATGTCCCTCATGAACATAGATGCAGAAATTTTCAACAAAATCCTAGTCAATAGAATACATCAAAAAATAATGCATCACAACCATAGGGGATTCATACCAGGTATGCAAGGATAGTTAATTTCAGAAAAACTACACAATCTACTACATAAATAAAACAATGGAAAATAACTACTTGATCATATTGATTGATGCAGAAAAGACATTTGAAAAAATCCAACACCCATTCCTGATTAAACACTCAAGAAAATCGGAATAGCAGGGAAATTACTCAATGTAAGCACGGCACATATACAAAACTAATGGCCAACATTACTCTCAATGTAGAGAAACTGAAAGCATTTCCCTTGTGAATGGGAATCCTACAAGGATGCCCTGTATCACCACTCCTATTCAACATTGTTCTAGAAGTGTTGACCAGAGCTATAAGACAAGAAAGGGAAACTAATGGGTTCCAAATTGGCAAAGAGTCCTGGTGTGAAACTATAGGATAAGCACTGGACTGCTAATCGCAAGGTCAATGGTTCAAACCCACCAATTACTCCTTGGAAACCCCATACAGGGTACTTAACAACAACAAACTGGCAAAGAACAAAGTAAAACTCCCTATTTGCAGATCTATAATCTGGTAGCGTAGTGGTTACGAATCGGACTGTGAACCGCAAGGTCAGCAGTTCGAAACTACCAGCTGTTCCGCGGGAGAAAGAGGAGGCTTTCTGCTCCCGTAAAGATTTACGGCCTTGGAAACCCTGTACAGGGTCGCTATGAGTCGGAATCGATTCCACGGCACATAACAACAACAACAACAACAACCTTATACATAGAAAATCTTAAATTATTGGAACTCATTGAAAAATCCACATATAAAAAATTAACTGGATACCTTTACATTCCTAAAAATGGAACTCTGAAAAGATCATCAGGAAAAAAATACTAATTACAATAGCCACGCTAAAGATGAATTCCTTAGGAATAAATCTAACCAGAGAAACAAAAGACCTATTAAACACTGCAAAACACTATTACAAGAAACTAAATAAAATGGAAACGTATACCATGCTCAGGAATAGGGAAACTTACCTGTAAAAATGTCAATACTATCCAAAGTGATCTATACGTATAATGCAACCCCAACAAGATTCCAACATCATTCTTTAAAGAGATGGGGAAACTAATCACCAACTTTATATGGAAAGGAAAGAGACCCCACACAAGCAACCATTAGTACAGAACAAAGTTGGAGGTTTCTCACTGTCTGATCTCAAAACCTGCTGCACAGCTACAGTAGTCAAAACAGCCTGGGACTGATTTATAGACCAATGGAATAGAATTGAGAACCCAGTAGTAAATCCATCTATCTGCAGTTAGTTAATCTTTGACAAAGGGCTGAAATACATTAAATGAGGAGAAAATACTCTCTTTGACACATGGTGGTGGCAAAATTTGGAAATCTATTTGCATAAGAATAAACAAGACCTGTATCTCACACCATACACACACACACACAAAAAAAAATGTGGATTAAAGACCTAACTGTAAAACCAAGAACTATAAAGATCACCAATTGAAAAAAAAAATAACCCAACAGGGATTAAGTTAGGGGCTCTGATACCTGGCATAAATACATTATCAAACATAACTGAAAACACACAAACAGCAAAGACAAACTAGATGACTGAGACTTAAAAAATTAGACAATTATGTGCATCAAAAGATTTCACCAAAAGAGTAAAAAGAGAACCCTCAGACTGGTGAAAATTGTTGGCAATGACGTTTCAGTCTAGGTACTAATTTCTAAAATTTATAGAAATCTTCAACACCTAAACAAGACAAATAATCCAATTAAAAAATAGATAGAGGACATGGATAGACACTTCACCAAAGAGAACATTTTGGCGGCCAACAAACATATGAAGAAATGCTTGTGATCATTACCCATTGATGCTTATAAGTGCTGTTGAGTCAGTTCTGACTCATAGCGACCCTGTATAGGGTTTCCAAGGAGGAGATGGTGGGTTTGACCCACCAACCTTGTGGTTAGTAGTCTAGTGCTGATCCTACAGCACCACACCAGCACTCCCATTAGTCATTAGGGAAGTGCAAATAAAAACAATGAGATATCACCTCACTCCATCATTAACAGCAAAATTAAAAAAAAAAGAAAACAGCAAATGTTGGCGAGGGTGTGGAGAGAACAGATTCCTCATGCACTACTGGTGAGACTATGAAATGGTACAACCACTGTGGAAAACGGTATGGTGCTTCTTCAAAAAAGTTGGCAATGGAAATATCACATGATCAAGCAATCCCTTTACTTTATATATATATACATATATATATATCCTAGAAAAATAAGAGCTGTGACATGAGTAGACATACTCACATCCATATTCATAGAAGCACTATTCACAATAGCAAAAGATGGAGACAACCTAAATGCCCACCAACAGAAGAATGGATACATAAACTTCGGCACATACACACAATGGGACAGTATGCAATGTTGAAGAGTAACAACAGATTGGCAAAACATCTAATAACGTGGCTGGAGGACACTGTGCTGAGTGAAATTAGTCAATCACAAAAGGACAAATATTATACGAGACCAAGAAACACAAGGAGGAAGCAGGATAAGTCATGTTACATGGAGAGGGTTGCAATGGAGATGAAACAAAGTCAATGTAAAACTTGTTGAATGTAAAACTGAGAATCTGGTCTATAAACTTTCACTCAATTAAGAATAAAATATTAACTGAGTGGATTCAGACTTATAGTGACCCTCTATAATGTTTGTTGTTGTTGTTAAGTGTTCTTGAGGTGGTTCAGACTCATAGCAACCCTGTATAAGGTTTCCAGGGAGTGACAAGTGGGTCTGAACTGTAGATATAAGTTTTACAGGATTGTACATTTTTACAAGAGCAGGCAGGTTCATCTGTCTCCTGAAGAGTGGCTGGCAGGTTTGAACTGCAGACTTCGTAGTTAGCAGCCCAACACATAACCAACAACACCATGTATTATGCCATTTTCTAAATAAAAAGTAACTTTTTTTAAATAACACTGATCATTATGAATAAGCTTTAAGTAAAGATTTAAATAATGATTAGATATTATCAGGAAAAACATTCCTTTTTATTTTGAAAAAACATAGTAGGTAATTAAAGACAATGAAAATAGATTTAAAATGGTGGTGGGTTGGTGTGTTTTCCAGTCAGTTTCAATCTTAGCGACCCTGCATAGGGCTTCTGAGGCAATCTTAACAGGCACAGAAGGCCTCATCTTTCTCCCAGGGAGTGACTGGTAGATTTGAACTGCTAACCTTGTAGTTAGCAGCCTAACAGTAACCAATACTCTAATGGTCAGATGTTATCTGGGTGTAAAAGCTCCTTTTTCTTTTGAAAACAAAACATAACATAACATAATAGATGCTTATTATTTTCACAACAGAGAGAACAGTAAAGAAGAAAATAGAGGATAAAAGTAGCTACATTCCCATCACGGAGAAATAATCACCGTTACAATTTTGGTATAGATCTTTCTGGTTTTTAATGCATGCATACATATAGAGTTATATGCTCATTATAACAAATGAAATCATAGAAAAATGTAGTTTTAAAGGTTACAAATTTTCTCTCAACCTCCCCTCCAACTTTATTTCCTAGACATAACCAATGTTAACAGTCTGGCATAATCCTCCTACTCCTTTCTCCAAGATCATAGCCATAACAATGTATGTATGTATGTATATATGTTATGTATGTATGTATGTATGTATGTATGTTGTTGTTAAGTATTGTATAGTTGGTTCTGACTCACAGAGACCTTGTATAGGGTTTCCAAGGTTTTACATTTTACGGGAGCAGAAAACATCATCTTTTTCCCAATTTGCGGCTGTCAGGCTTGAACTGCAAGCCTTGTGGTTCACAGTCTAGTGCTAATCATATGGAGACACACACACACACATTAAGTGCCGTACAGTCAGTTCTGACTCATAGCAACCCAATATAAGGTTTCCAAGGAGCAGCTGGCGAGTTTGAATTGCCAACCTTGCGGTTCAAAAGGACCTTGCAGTCCAGTGCTTATCCTACGGCGCCTTTACACAAATAGTGATGGTGGTGGTTATGTGCTGTGGAATAGATTGTGACTCAGCGACCCTGTACAGGGTTTCCGAGGCTGTAAATCTTTATGGGCGCAGAAAGCCTCATCTTTCTCCCGCGGAACAGCTGGTAGTTTCGAATTGCTGTCCTTGAGGTTAGCAGCCCGACTGGTAACCATTACACAAACAGAATCATAAAATGTATAACTTCTTTAATTTCACAGATACTTTCTCATTTCGTTCTGCTTCATTTATAGCACAAGGTCTGGTTTATCCGATAGGTCTCAGTATACCAATAAACGACACATAGACCCCTTTTATGCAAGGTAGGATACGATACAGCCCCGATGTTAGGGTATTACAGAGGTCCAGGAAGTGATGAGGGAGGCTGGACCAGAAGGATGTGAGAGTGAAAGAACAGAGACCGACCGATAAAAGACAAAATGGCCAGAAATTTATTTTAAATGGCCAGAAATTTATTTTAAATGACCGTAGTATTAGATTCTGAGCCAATGAAGGATGTTTCCTGGCCCCACCCACTTCCTGTAAGGGTTTTTCCGTGGCTCTGAGAGGTTGGGGCTGTTTTTTGTTCTGGAACATTCCAACTACAAAAATGGCCCGACTGGTGTAGAATAAACCATTACGAGGGGTGTATGTACTTTTTAATTTGATTATAAGTGTCTCATTTTCTTAGTTCTAAGTCTTTTCTGATCACTCTGGTTTCTTCCCGACTCCTAGTGATTCCCCACTGGCAGTCACTTGCCTTATGTACTGGGTAGGGAAAGACGTCTTCCTCACGTATGCCCCCACTCACCCCTGCAGTCTCTAAAAAGTTGGAACAGTCTTCGGGTATTAGTCTGGTGGGCAGGGCCTAAGGCTTTCTTTCCTCTAGAAGCGCTGAAGGAGAGACGTGGTGAGCGCCGCTTCTAGTCCCCGCTTCTAGTCCCCAGCCAGCGAGGTGAGGCCTGAGGGTGGTGTCCAAGGCCCGGATAACTGAGTCAAGGGGATGTTCAGATGGTCGGAGGGGCAGGGAGAGAAAAGGGGCGGGAAAAATACAACTTGATCTTTCCCTGTAGGACCGCTAAGGCCTTTTACTCTCATGGCCTTGAATCCAGAAGACCCCTTTGGTGGATTCCAACATGCTGAGGTGGTGGCCTTCATTAACAGGAAGATACGTGGGCACGTGAAAGGCCCTGAATTCTACCTCGAGAATATGTCTCTGCCCTGGGAGGAAGTGGAGGATAAGCTCAGGGGCATCCTAGAAGACAGCGATGTGCCAAGCGATGCCAAAGAGGCGTGCGCCTGGGGCAGCCTGGCCCTGGGCATAGGCTTTGCTTGCAGGCAGAGCCAGTTACAGGGGCGCAAAGTACAGTGGTTGCAGGATTTCGCCAAGCTGCACAGGTCAAAGGCGCAGTCCCTGGCTGCAGACCTGAGGGAGCTCACTGTGCAGCAGGAACTGGAGCGCAAGGAGGCGGCTTTCCACCTACAGCTGCTCCAGAACTCCCTGGCAGAGCAGAACCAACTGAAGTGGAAGCTCCTCTTGTCTGTAAGACCAGTTTCTAGTCTGGGTCCTTCCAGGCCCCCTGCTTTATAGGCCACTTGACCACTTCCTCCACCAGTGCTGCCCTCCCTGAAAGCCTCTCCCCTCCCACAAGCTCCTCCCCTCCTTCACACTAGCTCCTCCCCTCCTACCCCCTAACTCCCAACTTCCGACCACTGCTCCAAGGCCCCTTCCTGTACTCTCAGATGAGAGCTTAACTCTGCCCACTTCTTTCCAGGAGATGCAGCATATTACAGAGTCGGCCACTGATGCTGAGGCTGGGACAGAAGGCAAAGTCAAGGAGAAGGAGGTGAAAAAGGTGGCAGTGGACACAGCAGGGCCAACACCGACGATCACCACTGCGGCTGCTGCTGCCACCTCCCCTGCTACCAATGCTGCCACCTCCCCTGCTACCAATGAGACACAAATACAGCTCTTTGAAGCTAGGGAGGAGACAAAAAACACCTCTGAAAGGAAGAGGGAGGGTAAGCTCAGGTCAGTGGATACAAGCACTCTTTATATCTCTGGGGGTGTGAGGTCCAAGCCCACATTGTCACTAGTACCCATTACTGCCCAGCCCCCTGCCTCATTTGCATACTCTTTAACTTCATTGCCTCGCCTACCCATACCACTTCCACCAATAGTAGCTCCACCTCAGATGGCTCCCTTCTGGCCTGAAGCAGGGACCCGGGGAATAAATCCTCAAGAACCTCACAGAGGTAGGCGAGATTTTGGATTCCATCATCAGAGAGGGCCCAGGCCAGGGGATTGGCAATGTCCCTGGTGTAAAGCTATGAATTTTGCATGGCGGGATATTTGCTTCCGTTGTGGAAGGGGAATCTGGCTGCAAAACTTTCATTAATATAACTAGAACACACAGATCTAATGGGAAATCACTTTTCTGAGGGAGGGGGAAGTGGGAAAAGAAGTTAAGGGGGAGATGGGAAATGAAGTGGGATAGATAGTGAGGGATGGGGAGGTCCATGGGGCCAGGGAAGATTTAAATCTAGAGATTGGGGAAAGAGGGAGAGAGATACATTTTGATGACCCCTTTTGTGTTCCAGAACATTAGCATTCAACACTATAGAACCACAACCGCTTCTGTTTGTTAGGGTATCTGCCCCACATTGGGTGGACCCCCCACCAGTAATGTTTACAGCCCTCCCCACACATTTAGGTGATTGGATCAGGAGTGGACATTGGACATTCCCTGAACCAGTTAGTTTCTCATGCTAGAGGAAACAGGCTGATTCCATGGTATTGGGCAATGGAGCGGTGTGGGTCACTTGATGTTGGGGCCAGGGTCAGGAGATAGCTGAAAAAAAGCTAAAAATATGTTAAAGAATGAGGTTAATCCTGTGTACTGTATTGTTGACATATTCACTGTGGTTTTCAATTAAAAAAAAATATGACAAGGCTCCCTTTTGTATTGTGTAAATAAAGCACATCCCTGGAATTTCTGTATATGTGTATATGTATACTATGCATAATGACAGATTGTTTACCTTAGAGGGTTATATTTGTGTGAGTATAGAAAAAAGGCCTTGGCAAACAAGTTACTAAGGAAGGGGCGATGGGGTCAGGGATGGGGTGGTGGGATACAGGGCAACAGGGGAGTATGGGTGGGGAAGGTATCCGTAGGGAGGGGAGCTTGTACATCGTTATGTAATTCTGTGCTAAAATGAATAAATGTTTACAGAAATGAAAAAGTAAAGTGCATTTGTTTGCTTGGGGCCACCACTTCCTCTGAGACAGGAAGGGAGAAGGAGAGTGGCGGTCGGTGGTGGGGAACCGAGGGGGCTCCAGCCTGTGCCTTCAGGACATAGAAACACAAGACTGGAGCTCAGGGTGGGGTGGAAGCTTCTAGGCAATAATGGTAGGGATGGGCTAAAAAGGAGGTAGAAAAAGAATCATCAAACTGCATGGAATGGGACAGGTCCCAACAGCAAGAAAATCCATCGGGAATGCAGTGGGAGCCGGGGAGGAAAAGGAATGGGGCGTTGTTCCAGCAGGGGCGCCAGACCTAGGTCTCTCCAGTGCTACAACCCACCACCACCCCATTCGCTGTAGCAAAAACAGCACATACAAAAAGGAAAATGGCAGGAGCAGAGGCGTACCCAAGGAAAACAATACTTATGGCAAGTACAGAAACCGTGCCCCGTCTCTTAGGTAACATAACATTATTAAATCAGCTCAAAAATGCAAATCAAGCTCATTTATCTTTTATTGAACACATGATGGCACTGCATGAAAATGACAACTGGACCTTCCTTGCTTTCACTGATAAAAACTCATCTCTGATGTGCTCAGAGTCATTTCCCTCCTCAGTTTCTTCTCTTTCTACACTCTGCAGAACAAGGTCACACAGTCTGCCTTGACACATAGAGGCTCTAAAATACGAAGGTGTTCGTTTTGAGTGATCTCCCACAGCTACGATGGTTAATAGAAACTGCTTGGTGGTGGTTATGTGCCATGGAGTCGGCGCCGACTCATAGTGACCCTGTATAGGGTTTCCAAGGCTGTAAATCCTTACAGGAGCAGAAACATCTTTCTCCCACGGAACAGCTGGTAGTTTCGAACTGCTGACCTTGCGGTTCGCAGCCCAGTTTGTAACCACTATGCTACATGCTATACCCGCCATACCCACGATAAGCCTCGGGGCAAGAGGGAAGGACAAATTGGAACCTTCCTATCCCTTCTAGACTTGTGGAATAGCTTTTCATTTGCCATTCTGCTACTGGGGAAGCTAAGCACTTTGTTTTTAGGTCTGATCAGCCAGGAATGCACCCCAGTCTTTACCTGCATATGCCAGAGTTTTAAAGTTCAACTTACTTCAGGTCTTTGATTTTACAGGCTGGATTACGCAGTGCCTGACAGAGGAAGTGCAGCTGAGACATTGGCAAATTGTGCACCTGGGAAGACCTAAAAGAGATGAGGAACAAAAGCAATTTTTAAAACATTTTTTCCCCAAAGCAGATGGCTTATTTTGGCACTGCAGGATAAGCACTGGACTGCTAACCCCAAGTCGGCAGTTCAAAACCACCAGCCAGTCCTCAGAAACCCTATACAGGGTCGCTGTGAGTCAATACTGACTATACAGCATTTAACAACAACATTGTCATGCTAGTACTTATTTACAATCTTCCAAAAACCATGGAAGGTATTACCCATTTCACGGATAAGGCAACTGAAGCCCAAAAAAGTCAAGTAACTTGCTTAAGGTCACATATGTAGGTATAGGACCAAGGTCAATACTCAGGTCTGTCTAACTGCAAAACCATCTTAGCATGTTAATATGAAGTATGAGGTAACCATGTTACATACACACATCACGTTTATTCAGTCCTTAATGGTATTGTAATCACCATTTTGCAGGTGCTCAGAGAGGTCAAATAAATTGGCCACGCTATATTTACAATATAACTACTTCCTAGTTGAATTAATGATAACTTTTAAAAATCAGGGAAGTTCATTCTTAGTCAAAATGTTTGGGGAAGGGGTATCTTGAGTGAAATATTGACAAGAGCTTGTTAAATGCTGTGGAGTCGGTTCCGACTCACAACCCTGTATAGTTTCCGAGGAGTGGCTAGAGAGTTTGAACCACAGACTTTGCAGTTAGCAGTCCAGTGTTTACCCTACAGTGCCAGTCCTCTGAGAAAAGCTAAAAGGGTTGAGGATGAGAACTCCATCTATGGCTCATTTTCTAGAAATCCTTTTTGTTTCATCAGTGTTTAAAATCTCTCAAATGTGTTGGTCTTGTTTTATATTATACAGCTAGATTAAAGCTCTCAATAATTAATCAAGACCTTATAGCCAGGATCCTTCATAATCTGGAGTCGATTTAATCTGTCCAGTCCCTTCCTTATCTAGCTCAAAAACATAAAACACTTGCCACACCTTCCTTCCTATCCTCTCTTACCTAAAGTTCACATTGTTGTGTGCCGTTGAGTCAATTCTGACTCATAGTGACCTGTATAGGGTTTCTGAGGAGTGGCTGGTAGGTTTGAACCTCCAGTTAGCAGTCCAGTGCTTATCCTAAAGCACCACACCTGCACTCCTTATGTTGTTGTTGTTAAGTGTCGTCGAGTCAATACCAACCCATAGCAACCCTGTATAGGGTTTCCAAGGAGCAGCTGGTGAGCTTGAACCACCAACCTTACAGGTCAAACGACTTCACAGTCTGGTGCGTTAGCCCACAGTGCCACACCAGGACTCCTCATAGGCTATACTTATTTCCACCTCTATCTATTATTGGCCACTGAGGAAATGCTAGTGTGGCTATAAAAATTATGACGTGGGTTAACAAGCTCCCCCAAGTAGAGCCTTCTGCCCACTCTCCTATCTATATCCCCTACCCTTCAGCTGGCCCAGAAGTTGGCAGAGGCACAATCCACCTTAACTAGGTCATTGAGAAGAGACTGAATGTCAATGGCATTGTCTCAAGAACGTAGATATATTGTCTTCTTTAGTAAGATAGTAATTTAGTAGAGCTGTATTGTGTAGTGTGCAAAGTCCATATTATAACAGTGGTTTACTTAAGCCTCTCTAAACTTCAGCTCTCAAGGATTTGTGAAATTGAAAGTTTTGGTGGAAAGAGTTTATTCCTTGCTCTACCCCTCTCTAACCTTGAGCTTTGTGAGTTTTCAGTGACGGAGTCTGTAGAGGATTATGACAATCATTTCAATCTTAGGATGTTTTCCAGAATGGTCCTCTATACCAAAACAGCAGAATCTCCAGTGGTAATGCTGATGACCTTACATATTCAAAACACTTGATAATTATAAAGCACGTGTACTGAAGATTAATACACACACATTTATAGTGCCTGGCACATTTACTATGCTATCTATCCTGTCAGTGTTTTTATCTAGGCCAGTGTTCAATCCATGCCTGACATCCAATAAATCCTTATTGTATTTACTGACATGAACTATTGAAAGCTGAGAGGATTCATTTTATTTGTTGATAGTGCACCCAAATACATGACTGTGTATGACTGTGCACCCAGATACATGAACTGAACACACAGGCCCAATGGTTCTGAAGACCAAAAAACATGACATGACATAAATATACTCACTGATTGAATATCAAGGCTGGGGGCCTGAATGCCGAGGTTTGTACTTCCTCCTCAAATCCAAGTAGGTGCTGACACTTCAGAGACACTGACAGGGGGCTGTAACTGCTTTTGATACAGTATGACATAGTCAGAATGTCCATTTTAGTATAGGTAGATTGAAGCAGTATAATTGGCTGCAAATCATCAATTATCCTTTTTGCATATTCTTCATCCTGAATTTCATACAGACAATGAAACAAGTCCATTGGCTCAAGCTGTAACCTAGAAGACTTATCTTTGATTTCTCTCTCAGTCCATTTCAATAATTCTTCTCGAAGTCTTGGAGCAACTTTTCTTCCAAAAGTAGTTTCCAAAGTCTTTCCATTTCCTTGATGTAAGAGGCCAAATAAGAACTGTATTGTTAATGATGAAAAACCTTTTCCATATTGCTGGAATATTTCTTGCCACGTTTTCCCCACTTGATCAAAAAACATCCAGCTGTTGTCATTCTTCAGGGCATAGAACACGGCAGCCAAGAACTCTTGGAAACTGACATGAAGGAAAGTGTAGACATTGATATCTCCTTCAAATTTTTTCAAAAAGTAATTGAGAAAAATGCTGTTGATATCAAACACTCCAACCCCATGTCTTCTGAGGTCACTAACTTCAAACAGAACCTTGTTGTTCTGTAGTCCCTCCGCAGCCAAAGAGCAAAGGCCCCACAGACAACTTTGTCCTTTCCATACTGAGATACCTGAAAGGGTTTTGAGGCACTTGAAAAAGTAGAACAAATACACAGCAGT